TTGTAGAGAAAGAAAGTAGAAATTCTCACAAAATATTGTGAATTTTGAGATATCTTTGGTCTTATCGATTTTATCGACAATTGGTTAGCGATTTTCAGCTATAGTGTTTTCCTCACTCACAACCGAGGAAAGTTAGTTTAATCGGGATGTTAGTTATGAATAAAGTTTCTGACAACTGAATTGTTGTCTCATTTCACCTTCATTTTACACTTTTCAATGACATTGATCACTTGGATATCCATGATGACATGTTCTCTAGATGTTTTGACTGTGCTGAGGTAGCATGATGGATAATCGCTTATACTTTCCAATGGTAAAAACCGTTTGAAATGAACCATCTTATTCATGACCTAGAGTCAATTGTTATCATTTTCATTTGGGAAACCGAATGACACTTCTTTGTTGAGAAATGTGTCTAGAACTTTCACCAATCTCACAAACTTTTTAAATGCACTTTCTTTTGAAAATAATTAAATTTTCGACAGCGGCAGTGGAAGAACTAAATCAACATCTATGATTGCACTATCGTGTATTGTCCCGGTTGTGCAAAAAGACATTAATTATCTTTGAAATATTTTCAACCTGTCATATTCCATTTTAGTTGGAATCCACGAGCTTGGTTTGACGTTACCTACAAATCATTAAGAATCATTCGAATGGTTGTAATCGCTTCCTGTATCTGAATGGAGATAGGGAAATATTACCATAAGCTCCTGGTACAAGGTATCTCATGCATGTGGAGATTATGATGACGTTCGGTGATTAGAGACCGACTTAACAAGTCAACCCACTTTCTATTGGCCCAGATGGACTACATTGTTGATCCTTTGAGAGAATTTCTCTTTCTTGAATTCTTTAGATTTTCTTACTCTTCCATAGGTGTCTATTCTGGCGGTATTTCATCTTCTTGTGCTGGAAAGCATTTTAGTCAATCATGAGTACGTGTCTACTCCACTGCTTTTCGTTTTATTTCTGAGGTAAGCAGACCATCTAGAATAATCACTCAGACATTGAAATTTTAATTGCAACCATTAATTCTTCAATCACCCAACAATTACTCTACTAAGTGAACCTTTACCGTTGGTGATTGAATATTTTGTAAACTACCTTTGTAGTGTGAGATCATACAATCAACCTAGATATCTTGAACTCTAGATTTGATGGACTTGTGTTGACCCTCAAATTCTTGAGTGCTCATTTAGCCTTCTTGACTTAGCTTTTCTCTAAAATCGAGAAAAACTCATTATGAATCTGTTCGCTAAGGTATTGTGGATTACATTGTTCGATTATATGGTATGCATGTCACTACCGTATCTCATTGTGATGCGCATATCACTTCTAAATCTTGGGAAACCCTCTTGAAGGCCATGCATACTAAGTTTTTGGTATAATACCATGTTTCATCCTTAGAGTAATGGCTAGTTGGAATGAGTTATCTCGACCTTGGTGGACATATTGTATGTATGTGTATTATGGTTTCAGTATGATTATGACTAACACCTATCCCTCTAGAGTTATGTGTAACTACGGTTACAATTTCGATTTTGAGTTTGGCACTGTTTGAAAACGTTGCATGGAGACTTTATGCATAGTGTATGATTGACAGAGGAGTAATACAAAAAGGTATTTGAATGATCGAGATTATGATGTAAGAAATTGTGTAATGTTGATGACATTGCCTGAGAGGGTAGTGTGTGAGCACGATCGAGGTTTTGTTCGGACGATGTGTGTATATTCCTAATAAGGGGCATGATGGTAATATTACACCCTCAGGAATTTGTTACTTGCTTATCGAGACAACAATAAGTTGTCGATATTGCGGGCTACAGACCGTAATATCAATAACTTATTCGTTGGATTCGTTAAGCAAGAAAACAAGTAGGTCATTCTACATTAGCATTTGTATTTACTAACTTAATTAGTTATTCATTGTTTGGGCTCGACCCAAAGATACTACATACTTATCTTCAGAGTACGTAAAGCAACGAGTGCGTAGATGAAAAATAGTCTATGTTCAATTTTAATTTTAGTACAATTACTTTATGTTATTTTATATATATTGACTGTATGTTCTATAAAAGCAGTATATTATAGTTTTGTATTGAAGGAGAAGAAAAGTATGAGTTTGGGGGTATGAAAGAGGAATCACTGCACTCCGATTGCGACAGAATGACATTATTTTTTATGCAACCGCTCTAACTTGATATCTTCTTTACATAGTTGTTTTTCTTTTCTTTTCACTATTTTTGTATAACAAATGATTTTAAATTTCGAGGATGAAATTTTTTTTAGGTGGGTAGATTGTGACAACCCGTCCCTCATTTTACGTTTTTTTTAGTAATTTTAAAAGCATGAATTGACAAAAATACCCTAGAGGCAAGGACTTTGACTTCCATTGACCATCGTCTAGAGAAACTTATGACTTATTCTTTTAGCGTATTTGAGTAGTACTCATTAGTACGAACGCATAGGCGAAAGCCGTTTGCGAGTTCGAATTATAACGGTATAGTTACGGACGTTAGAAATTAGTTATTTAAAGTTTAGTTATAAATTAATTAAAACTCCCACCATGTGGGAATGGTAACCAATCAGAAAATGAGAAGAATGGAAAGGAAGGTGGTACAGGGGAGGAAGTCCCCATCTGATGGGAGGTGGACGAACCAGAGAATGATGAGGTGAGTGGACCAATGGGAGAAAGAGAATGGAAGAAAGGAGAGAGGAGTGAGAGGCATGGGATCATAAACCCTTCCCTTTCAACTCGTGCACAACCTAGTTTCGACCCGGTTCCAAATCCGGCGAATTCCGCCATTTTTCTCATTGATCACCACCATCCATCACCTACCAATCACTCAGGTGGCCTCCCATCCACCATCTTAGCCCAAAAACAGAGAGTTTTGGTTCCAATTTCATGAAGGCCGACGCACGACTTCGTGGGTATTAGGCGGCGATCCACCCATTTCTGAAACATTTACCTTCAATCACCATCACAAAAACACTTCTCTGGAGGTTAGGAACAAAGCCCAAATAGTTTTAGGGGCGATGGTGTTGCAGATTGATCGAATTGAAGAACACCCAATTCTAGGGTTCCGACAAGTTCATGGTGATTTGAGGCTTTTCTCGATCAAATTGGACTTGGCCACATGCGATGATGGTTCGTGATGCCTCGATATTTGTGCTAGGAAATTGTAGTGCGGACTTCATGTTTTAATAGTTAAGCTTTCTTATCGACGAGGATGTGTGGCAAATCTTGGTATTGGAGATTACCTTCGATGGTATGATTCTCAATCCACTCTACTGTACTTTACTTATGCTCTGACATCATGTGTGAAGTGGATTCATTCCCGCTCACAACGCACTCTTGTATTTAGGCACTTTTAGGTTTAAATTCATTCACATTTTCCACATCACTACACTTTATGGCTTCGTCACCTTCCAGGTGTCGGCCAACACAACTCGATTCAGAGTCCTAGTGGACAATTCGGGTCGGGATGTGTCACATATTGACAAGGTTAGTAAATAAGAAAAAAAAAACACCTCACGATTTATACAAAAACACTTTAAAAGTTAAGATAGAATGAAACCAAAACTCATCATCTATCTACTTATACGTCCGGAGTTTTTTGGTTTCCTTCTCTCGATACAAAATAAATTAGTTTTTCCATGTTTCTAAATTATTGAGTTTGAAGTGTTTTTCTATGTATAATTTTATCTAAGTCTTACGTGTGAAAACAAATAATTTTCTTATATGAAGTAAAGGCCATTTTTTGGCGTCGTCCCAAGCCTCAAAAATCTCATGACCGGCCCTATTCTAAGCTATAATCTAAAGAGGAGTGCTGGAAATGGTTGAACCTCGAATGCAATAGGAAAAAATACGTCATCCACGAAGGTAATCCACCATTTGCATCAAGTATTTGTATATTACTAGTATAAAACTTTGATTCCTCTCTCATACCTTATCAAAATGAGGAAGAAGAAACATAAGTATTTTTATATGGAGGAACATCGTTGAGGTTGTTGGTTTTGTAGCTACTGAAACTATTTTACACCAAACCTACTGAAAATTTGCACATTTTCGGTACATACTTGCTGAAACTTAAAAAAATAAAATGAATAAAGGTAGATATATGCTGAACTATGTCTAACCTACCGGAAAATCTATTTTTCTCTAAAATTGGCTCAATTCCTCTTCAATGTACCGGAATAGTTGAGATCATATATGATTTTGGAGTTATACGCAAAGTCATATTTGACTTTGGGTATAACTCTAGCGTCAAAAGTGGGATCCCAGCCTTGGAAAATACAAAAGTTATATTTGAAGCCAAATTTGATTCAATTCCTTTTTAATCCACAAGAGTTAAAAGCAAAAAAGTTAAATTTGACTTGGTATGGTTGAGCAGTCAATCTAGAACATCAACGTTGGTTGGCCAATCCTTTGCATTAGGAAGCTCTCAAATTCGCACTACGACCAATCCTTTGCATTAAGAGTGATGATGTTCCGCTGCAGGTGGAAGCTCTTGCGACCAGAGAGGGGGCAGCTTTGGCGGTGGAAAGGGGATTCCAAAACTTTACCATAGAGGGTGATTCCTTCTTAATCACATCAGTTTTACGGGAGCAGTCTACCAATATGTCCTTGGTGTGACACATTGTGGAAAACACCAAGGTTTTTCCGACTCAGGTAGCTGGAGCTATTTCTGCCCACACACACCGCCAAACGAATGGTATTTGCTCGTCATCTCGCCCTGCAGGCTCTCCATGGTGATGGTGCTTGTTCCTTGTTTGAGGAACCCCTGACATTGTTGTTGATTTGTTGCTAGAAGAGAGTACGAGTTAAGTGAGCCGTTTCAAAGCTCCCTGTGCTGTTTTGTGTTGATACTCTTCTCTTGAATGAAAACAGCCAATAGACGTCACAGATAGGTTGCAATCGCCATTGGCTCGAATGGAAACACTCGGTCGCAACAAATTCAGTTCATCAAGGTTTCAAGGAAACAATTTAGAGAGTAGGCAAAAAGCTAAATTGATGATTTGTAAAGTGCATACAGAAAAACAAAAGGACATTAACACAGCAATAAGGTCAGCAACAGCAGCCAGCAGTGCTAAAAGTTGTACATTTCTGAATCATGATTAGAAAGGAACAACACTTGTCCAATTTGCTTACAAAGGAAACAAATCTAAGAAACCGGTCCTAGATAATCTGCATGCAAGCCAACCAAAGCCTGAAATTCCCTTTGTGCCTCAAGCCACTTAGTCCCAATGACAATGAAGCGTACGGTGGTGCCTTTCTCAATTTTTGACATCTTCCTGTTCATGAATACAGGATTCTCCCCAGGCACATAATCATAATCCGGCATCTTCATCTTCGAGAGATACATGTTTTCAACTGGGCCGCAACTCAGGAAAACTCCATGCTTCAGAACTTTGTGAACTACGCCCTCTGCGATCTCTCCTCTGAAAAGCTTGAAGGTAACAGCGCTAAAAACAACTGGAAACAGAACATCCCCAGTCTGCTGCCTCACTTTGCCCTCTCCTACACTCTCCAGAGTTGTGAGAGCGAGATAGTAGCCCAGATCTTTGGTTGCCTTTCTTGATGCAAAGTCCTCCAGCAGGCGGACAACAATCGACTTTTGGAGCATCAACCCCTTCATATCCAAGCTCTCAGCAGGGATTACGACATTCCAGGGCAACTGTACTTTCAGAAACATGGCTGCTAATTCCAACCTGTCATAAACCAAACAAAGAAACAGCAACCAAATTCTACATGAGCTCCGATCCCTAAATTCTTCTCACACTCTGTCCTTGTTGTGTATGTTAATCATTAGCCTGCAGTCAATATTCTATAAATGTAAAAAATCATGAGCTGAAAGAAGATTGTTCACGAAAGGCATAGTAACTACAAGTAACAACCTGCTAGAAGGTGATTGCCGTGAGGACAAATAATTAAGCAGGAGACCAGTTTCTAAATCAATCCATATTACCAAAATATCTCTGGATGATTCATATTATTTAAAACCTAGAACGAAGTTTCCAAATCAGTTTTCTAGCTTTAATTAAGAGAAGGCTCAAGTACATATACATGCATGAGTGTCGAAATCACAACTGCAAAAACCTAGAAAGCTTTGGAAAACATGTAAAGAGCAACCAAACAATAAACCAAGTGAATCCTGCTCTCCTGCCAGAGCAGAGTGACAACTATATCACAACTGTTCCAAGATCGCTCAGATGGCTACAAAGGATTATAGAAATAACAAACTAGATACTGACAATGTCAGTTTTTTAGATAATCTTTCCCCAAATTTTCTCTCCTGCTCCCAAAACTCACACTGGGCCCTTCACGCATGCTCTCCCTTCGCCGTCTTCATTGAAACTACTTTTCTCACATTTCATTCTCACTATTGTCTTCCCAAACCTTTTCCCTTTTCTGAAGAAGCGGGATATTCAGATTTGAGGAAAATAAATACTTTGTGAGCAACACCAGCTCAACTATAGGCCTTACTTTGTTCGTGACAGGAGTGAATCTACCTACTAGAACTCTTTCCTGTGGTTTTACATATGCCTCAAAGACTCAATGTTCAGCTGACTCTATCACTTGACTTCTCTCTATAAAATCATAGGATTCAATCCCCCTTACCATATGCCTATCATCATATGACCACTGCAACTGAATTATTAATTATTATACATACCACAAAAAAGAATCTCTCTCTATAAAGTAAATAGACAGAAAACAGGTAAAGTTGCAGAAGCTGATAGAGAATGCTCTCCCGGTTCCTCAACCCTCATCTCACTCCCCTTTTTAATTCATCATTCATTACTATCAACAAAGACCTACCAAGAAAAGAAAACCCGAAATACGACATATTGTCAATCCTTATCTCATGTCATGAATGGCATATATATTTTAGATTTTAAGATCAGAGCAGAGGTATTAGAAAACAATCGAGCGTACAGACCTACAGAGCTCTGCATGAGGGTAAACACTGCCTCAAGAATTGGCCGCACAACCTACCTCATTCAGAGTTTTGGGCAATAGAAATCTCCGATCCGGGCCAATCCTTGCCCCTTTTGTCCACAAAAATATATAATATGCTAACTTGTTAAGTATAATTATTAAGTTTTTCACCTTTCATTCTATTTTATATTGTTTAAAGTGTAATAACTTATCAAGTTTGTTAATGTAAACTAGTTCTACATTACGTATATATAGCAGTTTCCTTTGTAAGGAAATATCTTTAAGAAAAGGGTGGAGGGGAGGGCACAGGAACACCCACATTCCCGAAGGTGAGAATGAGAGCAAAAAATGGAGATTATAAATCAAAGCAAGGACGGGAAGGGTCGGAAAATTTACTTCTTACCCACCCGGCCATCACTGGCTGCAGTTTAGTTGTGGAAAACTAAGGTACATTCCTGCTGCTAAGTGAGCGGAACTCCTGCACTGATACAAAGACATACCTATCACTATTAAATCAGGCCTAAACCCTAAACCCTAACCCCCATTTTCCCATTCCCTGAAATGATCTTCTATCTCAATCTCTAACGCAAAGAGGTCCTGAAACCACAAATTGGCTGTTCAATCTATTCGAATGTTCTCCAAACCTCTCCATTTCAGTACCAGACCCACAAAATCCCATCGCTCAAGGACTCACTGTGAAGTCAAATTTCACAAAACTACAAACCCAAATCCAATTTCTCAATATATGTGAAACCCAATTACTCTAATAATCCAAGCACAAAAATGCATATACATTGATATATAAATATACATACACACACATATATGGACACAGATTAGGGTTTGCAAAAGCTAAAGCACATACCTTTTCCTCCAGCTGAGCAGACTGCGTGACTGGCGAGTGGCTTGGGAGAAGGGGACTCTTCACACTTTCCTTGGTTTTTGTTTGTTTTGGCATGCGTTATGTGTCACGCCAATTCAACCCGTTACTGTTTTCAACCGAGGATCGTGATTATCTTAATCACAAATTAAGAGTCATGTTAGTTGTAATTGAGGGTTTTACTTGTTATTAGGGAAATTTGTTAGAAATGCCAGCTGGCTGTAGTCACACTAGTGTATAAGAGCACTTGCTCTTTGGTTTGTAATCAGATCAAAATTTACACAAATGAAATATAAACAAAAATATTGGAGCTCTGCTCCTTCTACCTTCCTCCTTCCCTCTTCCTCTCTATCCTATGTGTTACTTGCAGGTTGATTAAGGGCACCGCTCAAAATGGTGTGAATTTGGGAAGAAAATTTGGAAATCTTAGGTATGGAGAAAACTTGTAAATGTTATTCAGTTATGATTTTGAATATGGTTATAAAGGTTTTTGAACCGTCTTTTTCTTCTAATCCGTCTCGATAATATCTATTATATAAAATAATATGATAGAGTCGTTACGTGATAACATTTTTTTACGCAACTTTCGTCAAACGTTTTTGTGGAGCCTACTCTGTAATATATTTTAACGATTTGAAATATATATCTTAAAGCTTTTGTATTTGTTTAATTTTTTCACGATGACGATGTATAAATGATATTCTAAAATATAGACGGTTTTGATCGTTGAATTATATTATTGATACGAAATTTCCGTTCCCAAATTGAAAGGGTGTCGTCCCTAGTCACACCTTAAATGGAGAAATGTTTCAAATGCTGGGTATTCAAGTGGGCACTTCACGTGTTATAATATAAGTGAAGGACAAAAAAAAATATATTATTTTCTTCACTTATATTGTGACATGTAAAGTACCGCTTGATACCTAGCACTTAAAAAGTCTCTCTGCCTTAAACTACAATTGCCACCTGTTTCCATTGCCCGCGGCCACATATATAATTGACACCACTTCCATATTTTTTTAGAAAATATTTAATTTCTTATATAATTTACAGAGATGGAAGTTTAAATTTGAGTGCAGAAGTGCAAAAAAATTCAAATGCATTTTAACATCCCAGAGTTTTATGCAAAACTTCAAATGAAAATGTCGCTAAAAGAGCTGTGATTACCAATCCAGAAAGTCATTCTACGGTCCATACGTGTACTATTCTTCTTATGTTTAAAAAGAACATGTAGTAAATGATTTTGGTAATCTCATGTCCACAACAAAGAAAATTCAGATTTATTTCCCAACAGTTAATTTACAAAGAGGAAAGAAACCTTCATCTGATTTGAAGAATTACAAATCCAGTCCATCAGGACCTGGTAATGTAAGGGGACCAAGCGAATCGCCCTCTAAACTGGCAAGCATCACAAACTCCTTCCTTATATCGTCCCTAATCTCTATCCATCTGACTCCAAGCACCTTGAAGCGAATTACAACATCGTTATCTATCTTTGCAAGGTCGTCGTTCAAGTAGACTGGATTTTCGCCAGCAACATAGCGGAAGTTTGGCATTTTCCGAGCGGAGAGAAAAACATATTTAACAGGTCCACATCTCAAGAAAACCCCAAGCCTGTATATGTGATGAACGACTCCTTCCAAGATCTCTCCCTTGCAAGGTAGGAACATGCGACAATTGAATACTACAGGGAAGAAGACGTCTCCAGAGTTGTCCACAACTTCTCCCTTTCCTATCCTCTTTAGGCCAGTGACTGCAAGAAAGTATCCGAGGTCCTTGTCTGCCTTCTCCCTTAACAAATCCTCCAAAAGCCGTGTGACAACGGACCTTGTAGAAACAAGTCTGTCTCGGTCTAGATTTTCAGCATGGACAGGCACTTCCCTGAGCAATTCCACTTGATAAAACATGCTCAAATCTACTTGGAAAATTTACCTAAAGAAACAAGGTTATAAGCAGAGGTTTGACATATCAATCAACCAGCTTCTTAGGAAACGTATAAAAAGAAAACAAGGGCCCGAGAGAAAAATGAGAAGCAAGAATGAATAGCAGGCTCGGAAAACATCTCTAAACATAGAAGCGTTGGACGATGGGGAGCTAATCTATCAGGCATTGATTAGAGGAATGATGTAAAGAACCAATACAAAAATGTGTGGCGCCGTTCCAAACAACTATGTGTTACAGAATCACCAGCACTATTAACATACTTGAAACCATACGCAATGAGAAATTAGAATTTCAAATCACTCGAACAAGAGGCAGAGAGAGACAGAGAGAAATAAGTAACATGCATTCAAGAAATCATATCATTCGTTCACAAAGGATCAAACAAGTCATACGTACGCTGTAATCTGACCCGTACAAAACACCACTACATCAATTATTAAGAGATACATCTCTTCCTCTTTGTGCACTGCTAGCCAGACAGTTGCACACTACTCAGTCTGTTAGATATTACTTGTCAAAATCCCCTTCAATTGCTTTTAAAATCCAAGTTAGTATGATTATATAAGGGTAACTGAAATAATACATATAATTTCTCTTATTAATTCACCATTTAGCGTAATGGGCTAGAGCAGTGTGCTCCCTCTACACACCTAAGTTCACATAGCAGGACTCAACAGAGGCCATTTTGCCGATCAAATAAATTAATCAAGTATTTTGTCTAACAAACAATACATCAACCAAATACAGCAAATTAAATCTTTATCTATGAAATAAAGAAATTTTACTCAAAACCCAGATACAAAAAACCTCCCAAAAAAAACTTGAAGCATCCGAATTGAAGATTGCAGAATCAAAATTCAAGGGCCATGGGACAAAAGACAAATCTGATTAAACTGAAATTTGGAAGAGATAACAAAGAGGGCTTCAGAGAACGGACCTGGTAACGATTCGGAGGAAAAGAAAACCCCAATTGAGAAAACTTTCTGGGTTCTGGAAGAGATCTGCTGGTGGGAATAAGTCGATGGGAAGGACAAACTGGAAGGCTTCCACGCAATTTGAACGAGTGAGGGAGGCCACGGCAGCGGACAGTTTTCTCTTTTTTCGGGGGTTTTCCGGTTCTTTTTACTCTTTTCCGCCTCACGTTGATCCTTTCGATTCCGCCCATTCTGGTTATGGATTAGTAAACGAATCATTATTAGTGCATTTCAAAAATTTGGGTTTGAGTACACTATAGTGGAGCAGTCTAAGGAATTTATAATCAACTCTTTATATAATGAGCCACTTAGGAATGCTATGGTAAATTGGCTAATGTAGCGCTTATGGTAGTGAAAATACATTTAACATTTAATTTATTCACGTAAAACTTATTAAAGTTTGGATATAACCAGTTAACAATTTGACCGTTACAATTTATTCACTTTAAACTTACACACAACTGAGATAAAATCAATTGATAATTTATCATTTACAGTTTATTCACATGAAAGTTACCACTTACAATCAAGATAAGACCAATATGATAGTTTAGCACTTGTAATGTCCTCGTACTTTTTCACACATCATGTGATATTCAAGAAAAATAATCCATCATCGCTTATTCGTTGCAAGTAAATTGTTATGTTCCATTACATATTTTGTAAAACTATTTCTTATTAGTGACACATCATTTAGTTTGCAAAGTTAATTTAAAATTTTGATCTCTCTAACACTTATAATAACAAAGAAGTATGTGCTACTTAAAAAAAAAAGGGTAATGCTAGGCAGCTAAATTTGTAAACAAAATTTTAGAAACTAAAGGACAAAGAAGTTAATAATTAGCTTATTACGTAAGCGTTGATAAACATGCTCATTTTTATTAGTGACGCATCATTTAGTTTGTAAAATTTCTTTGTAAATTTAGTCTCCCTAGTATTACGCAAAAAAATAATAGAAAAATAGGAGGGCATAAAAATTTTCGCTTGGCTTTTTACTCATGAAAAACTTCATAGTAGGATGAGATTGAGTAAATTCATTCAAAATATTAACAAATTGTGCCCTATGTGTGGCAATGAGGATGAGACGCAAAATCACCTTTTTCTTAATTGCCAGCATGCTAAAGAAATATTGAAGCTTTTTCTGGTAAGTCTTTGGAAGAATAATTGGACTCAGTTTAATAATGTGTTAGATTTGATGGAAATAATTGATAATGCTGAATGCAATGATTTGAGTGATCTTAGTAAAGCTCTTCTTAATTGTTGGCAAATGTGGAATGATAGAAATAATAAAGTTTTTAGAAGTATGAATCCTAGTCTTGCTATGTAGCATCTCACATCAATCAACGGAGAGAGAGGTGATGTGCTTTGTATCTACATGCCCACCTCCATATAGCACGAGGCCTTTTGGAAACTTACTAACTTCGGGTTCCATCGGAACTCCGAAGTTAAGCGAGTTCGGACGAGAGCATTCCCAGGATGGGTGACCCACTGGGAAGTTCTCGTGTGAGTTTCCAGAAACAAAGCCATGAGGACGTTGCCGAAGCCCAAAGCGGGCAATATCATGCTATGGTGGAGCCAGTCTGGAATGTGACATGCCAGAGGTATCTCTATTGCCATAAGTGTAATCATTTTTAAGGTTAATTGTAAGAAGATCTCTAGGGGTGATCCTTGGCACCAACACCCCATTTGCTGGCATCCTTCATCGCATGGTTATGTGAAATTAAACTTTGATGAGTTTGTTAGTTCAGATCGTTCTGCAACTGCTGTTGTTCTCAGAAATGAGGAGGGGCAACCTGTTGGTACCAGGGCATTCAACTTTGATGCAGTCACCATTTTAGTTGCGGAGACTGTTGCTTTAAAGGAATGGCTTTTGCTTACCAAGCATAAAGGTGTGAAGATGCTAATGGTGGAAGGGGATTCTAGGCTAGTCATCCAGGTGGTGCAAGATGTTTGGATGCCGCATCTTAAACCTATCATAGAGAATATAAAATGGTTGGCTTCTAGGTTTCAGCATATCAATTGGAAGCATATTTATAGGGAGGCTAGTTTCATGGTGGACGCATTAGCTCATTTGGGCCTCAGTGTGCAACCCTCATTTTTAGGATTATTGTCTTCCATTTTTGGTTATGGAGGCCATTAATTTTGATTATATATAGAAACGGTTGTATTAGAGGTTTTAAGCTTTAATAAATTTCTTCATCATAAAAAAATATAAAAACATAAGTGCAGCCGCTTAGATATTTGCTCTCCGCCACGGATAATAACAAGCTAGCAACATAGCCAGAGTACACGAGGAAGAAGAAGTTAACAGTGTTTGTTCTCCCATCAGTTGAACCCCGTAAAACCTCACCAAACCTCTGATAAAATTGATGCCCCTCCGTCTCTTCAATCCGCGATGACTCTCATGCCCAGTCGTCAACTTTACCCTACGAGCTTGTTCGACTCGTTCCAGAGCTCCTTGTCGAAATTCAATAGCGCCCATATCCAGTTCTTCAGGTATGGCTCCTCAATTCCTTTCAAGAACCACACTTTCTATACCACCCACTGCATTATCAGCTCTCCTTTAAACCCTGACCCAAACCCAATGAGGAAATCGAATTTTGTTGGGAGAAATCGACCCGTTTATCAGTGTAAACTTAAGAGGAATTTGTGTAGTAGTAGTTGGATTAATAAATGGAATGAATCCCACAAGCATAATCGACCAAAACCGCCTCGGGCCGTGTTGGATTATCAGAGTAGTGAAGGTGGGAATGGTTCAGGAAATGGTGGTGGTAGTACAATGGAGAAGATAGTGGAGAAATTGAAGAAGTTTGGGTACGTTGATGATAGTAATGACAGTAAAGGGGAAGTAAGGGGGAGAGTGATTGAGAAGGGTTCAGTGGAGGATATATTTTATGTTGAGGAAGGAATGCTGCCAAATTCGAGGGGTAGGTTCTCGGCTGATTCGCCATTGGGGGTAGAGAATGTGTTTGGAAGTGATGGGAAGGTAAAGTTTCCATGGGAAAAGCCTGCAGAGGAAGAGAAGCAGGAGGAGGGTTCGGTGAGGAGGAAGAGTAGGACTTCAGTAGCGGAATTGACACTTCCAGAGTCTGAGTTGAGGAGGCTGAGGAATTTGACATTTCAGAAGAAGCACAAAACTAGGATTGGAGGTGCTGGTGTTACCCAAGCCGTAGTGGACATGATCCACGAGAGATGGAAGACTTCGGAGATTGTGAGATTGAAAGTTGAAGGTCCACCGGCTCTTAACATGAAGAGAATGCATGAGATATTGGAGGTTTGTTTCTTATGACTTTCGTTACAAGTTTGTGTGTTAGTTTTGTTTCTCATCTTTTTATTAAACTCATCCACTCAGCGTTGATTATTCATTTGATATCAAGTGAAAGGATATATAAGGATAAAACACAAAAAAAATATATACATCAAAACAGAAAATTGAGCTAGAGTTGGAAGCTCAAGGAGTTTTCTTCGCTTTTGATCTACAAACTGAACATGAATACATAAAGTTGTACCTGCACCTCAAAGGTTTCCTTTGGTCTTTCCATTCAGTATTTATCTTCTGCAATGAAATTTGTCATTAAGAACATAAAATGGAAAGCAAAACAAAAAGAGAAAGTTTTTAAAAGTTTTTAGAATAGCATGTTTAAGGACGACATGGTTGTTTGCATCTAATATATTGATTTTGTTTTGTTTTCTTGTTATTATCAGCGGAAAACTGGTGGTTTGGTGGTCTGGAGGTCGGGCACATCTCTTTCTTTATACAGAGGTGTGAGCTATGAGGTTCCTTCAGTGCAACTAAACAAGCGGATATACAAGAAAAATGACAGCTCTTCGGCATCTTTACCAACTGTTGCTGATAAATCTGTGGGAGACTTTGTTGAGATTGCTTCTTATGGTAATGTAAATACACCCCAAGAAAAGCTGGAGAGTACTTTCTTGGAGAAGAAAGACACAGAACAATTGCCAGAAGTGAAGTATGAAGATGAAGTAGACGAACTTTTAGATAGTTTAGGCCCCAGATTCAAAGATTGGCCCGGATGTGATCCATTACCTGTAGATGCAGATATGCTTCCAGGGATAGTTCCTGGTTACGAACCACCCTTCAGAGTACTTCCATATGGTGTGCGATCTTCCCTTGGTTTACAAGAGGCAACATCTTTGAGAAGGCTGGCGAGGGTTCTTCCACCACATTTTGCTTTAGGTATGCAATTTCATGTGTTGCACATAAGTGACAAGATGCTGATTTGATAATGTTTAAACTTTGTCCATAGGTCGAAGCAGACAGCTCCAGGGTCTAGCAGTGGCCATGGCTAAATTATGGGAACGAAGTTTGATTTCAAAGATTGCACTGAAACGTGGTGTCCAGCTGACTACTAGCGAGCGAATGGCTGAAGACATCAAGGTAATAGAACTCGGTCAATTTATGTCTCATTAGGTGGTATTATTTGTCAAGCAGCACCTTGCCACACACTTTTGTTGCAGTCAACCAACTCAAAATTGGTATGCTGAGTTAAGTCTGGGTGAATACTATTCTTACAATTTTAGTTATTAAGTCTAGCAATCAGCATCTAACATGTGAAAAGTTAGTAGACAAATGGGAACTAGAATACAATGCTCTTGACAACATGCATTGATAGTGTTGGCCAACTTGCCACTTACAAAAAGAGAAACAAGATTATAAAGAGAGAAACAAGATTGGCCAGGTTCGAGTTTTTTCTAGAGATTATTTGTTAGAAATATGAAAGTGGGTTGAATCGCTGACAGAGGTTTTACATCAGAAAGGGACTGGTTCACTAACTATGTTTGGATGAGGGAATTTAAAGTTCCACGGTCTGCATTACAAAAGTTAGATAGAGGGACTTGAAAATGACTCAATGCAATACATTGAGAGAAGGTGTCATTTTGAAAGCTCCTTGTTTAGTGTCTTTGTAGTGCATTTGTATTATTTTAGTTGCAGCTTGGTTGTGCTTAAGTAGTTAATTGGTGATGTCCATGTAGTGCTGTTTTAACAATGAAGCCTAAATTTGTTTTGCCGAAGTTCTCATTAAGTGAAATGCAATTTTTTCATCTTCATCCTTCCAAAGATATTATTCTTACTGCTATGAAGTCAATTTTCTTCTCATTTTCTATTTTGTAGGAATTAACCAGATAAATTCCTCAACATGAAGTTACAATTCTATGTGCTGTTTTCTTATGAAACGCTTTATAGATGCACCAAAGAAAGTAGTTTTCTTTGTCTTCCTAAATCCTTTGTTTCGTTGTTCATCATTTTATCTAGATTGTAAGTCTAGATGATTTGGAATCTGAATGACATATCTGTAGAAAGGTTTGTTATTGTACAATAAAAATTATAGATCAAAGCAGTTTACGACTTATAACATGCATGGCTTGGTAACATGGAATATTAAAGGCCAATATACTTCATTATTTTACATCTGAGTTCATATTTCATATTTACATACAATCAAATCTTATTTATTTTCTGCAGAGATTGACTGGGGGTGTGCTGCTATCTCGAAACAAGGACTTCTTGGTCTTCTATAGGGGGAAGAATTTTTTGTCTCCAGAGGTCACTGAAGCGTTACTGGAAAGGGAGAGATTGGCGAAATCCCTTCAAGATGAAGAGGAGCAGGCAAGGTTAAGAGCTTCAGCCATGGTCATACCAAATGTTGAACAAGCTCAACACTTTGGTACCGCGGGTACACTTGGGGAGACCTTGGATGCAGATGCTAAGTGGGGAAAGAGGATGGATAATCATCATAAGAAAAAAGTGATGCAAGAAGCAGACATATTAAGGCACTCCAATTTGTGCAGAAAGCTTGAACGAAAGCTTGCCTTTGTAAGTTCCTGGAAACTTTGGATTGCAAATATAAGAAACATCTTGTAGTTTCAGTCCAAGTCTGAATACTTACTTTGACATCATACCCTTCCAATACTAGAATTTCCCTTCATTTGAACATTTGAAATTTTGCCTGTCAGGCTGAAAGAAAGTTAATGAAAGCTGAACAAGCCTTATCTAAGGTAGAGGAGTGTTTGAAACCATCTATGCGGCAAGCTGACCCAGACAGCATTACTGATGAAGAGAGGTTTATGTTTCGTAAGCTTGGTTTACGGATGAAAGCTTTCTTACTTCTTGGTATAACAATTCTCCCTTTACCTTTTTATCTTGACTGCGATTTTATTATAGTCTACTTATGGAAAATTGATTTCTTCAGGTAGACGTGGAGTGTTTGATGGTACAGTGGAGAACATGCATTTACACTGGAAATACCGGGAATTGGTCAAGATAATGGTGAATGCTAAAAGTTTTGAGCAGGTAAAAAAAATTGCATTAGCACTAGAAGCTGAGAGCGGAGGTGTCTTGGTTTCAGTGGATAAAGTTTCCAAAAAGTTTGCCATAATTGTGTACCGGGGAAAGGACTATCACCGACCTTCTACATTGAGGCCAAAGAATCTCTTGACAAAAAGGAAAGCATTGGCACGCTCTATTGAGATTCAACGGCAGGAGGTACCACTCTAAATTTAATTGCTAATTGTTCAAACATCCTAGTTTTATCAGATAGTTAACAACACATGCATTTAAGAATTCACTCCAGCAAGTGTAGCTTTATAAAGGTTGCCAGTAAGTACTTAATGCTTGGTTTGTGCAGTTCGATCTGTTTAACCCCGTTCATCTTTTCCATTAAAACACACTAAACTTATTTAATTTTGTGAACAATAATGTTCCTAACTTAATTTTTTTCTCTGTGGAACAGGCTCTTCTAAAACATATTTCAGTGGTGCAGAGTAAAGTGGACACACTTAGATCCGAAATAGTATGCCCCTAACACTTTCACTTATTGCTATTACTCACTTGGCATGTGAAATATAAAAATATCATTTTCTTCCTTTCGTTCTAAGTGGCTCATGTATCGCATTGATAGGAACAAATGGATGCTGTGAAAGAGCATGGAGATGAAGTATTGTACGACAAATTAGATTCTTCATATCCGACTGATGATGATGATGATTCCGAGGCTAGTATTTGCTTAATCTTCTATGTTTACTCTCTTTGTGGTTAAACTGTAGTTAAACCAACTGTTCTAACATGGGAACTTCAACGAAAAGCTCCTGGTACTGTTCACTTTAACGAAAAATCACATATTTACACTAAAAAGTCAATCCTGGTACTATTCACTTTACCCCTTATTTTGTCCTTATCGTTAGAACTCAAGGTTTTCAAGTCCTTTTCATTAGTTTTCTTTTCTGACATCTTAATCCTTTTGTTATCCTTTTGAAGGAAGAAGATGTTTATCTTGAAACATATAGCGCAGAAAATGATGGTGAAGATGAAGGCAATTACTCAACTCACGATCCTCACCTGGAATCCATTTTTCCTTTTAATATCCAGAATGAGGATTCTCAAACGGAATTGGAAGTTCCTCGACAACATTTGTATGCTGTGCCAGAGGGTTCACTAGACAATGATTAGCAAGATGAAGAAGATAACTCCCTACAATGATGGAATCAACTGAACATAAACCAATGGTACAGCAGCGTTCAGAAATTGTCACAATGGTTGCTCGTCACATTGTACAGATAATTTGGGCAGGCTGACATCTACGTAACTCTACGTTAGTTTTATGGTACAAGTTTCTGTCACGATCTCCCATGTCTATTAATTCTTGAACTAGAAATAACACATACAGCAGGATAAGTCGTCTTAAATTGTGGGAGGAGTTAGATATAGCTGGTTTTTAGGGCATATTGATGTTTTCAGGTCCCAAACTTGTATAACAGTTTTGCTAGAGAAGCCTTCTATGTAAATGAATATGATTCTTAAATCACAGTGGATATTTCATCACCTATTCTAGTCTACAACTTTACTGATTTCAATATTTGATGGTGATATATGTACTTGGTGTCATATAGATTGGGAAAAATCCATTTTAAATGCTGTGTGTGTTTTTTTTGGGTCAAAGGATAGATTTTGTTAGATTAGGATGTTAGATTAACTGCCGACGGGTTTGAACCCACGTCGTCAAGCAAGGGCTCTTGCATTTTCAAAGCTATGTTGATAACTACCTTATTTTTCTATTTTTTTAGATATGGGTCGTTAAACAAGGTTTGCTATTTTCTGATAGAAGCAATATTGGGGGAAGGGGGGGAAGGGGAGTCGAACTTTGGAACTTGACTGTATAGACGGATGCTCCTAATTAACTGAGCTAAGAAACTTTTGAGTTACTGCATGTAGGAAATATTCAAACATGGTGTTCATCTATTATTCAAATTCTAGAACTAATCAACTCAACACATTAATTAATAGTCTTCGTTCATTTCGCTTGATTACTAGAAATCCCCGACTATTACGAGTCTAATCCATTGATTTGTTTCAACAAAAATTAATTAAATTCATTGGAAACTGACCAGATAAATCCCAATGCACTTTAGTTTTAGATCATGTTTTTAATGCTCCCAATTAGTACGAGAGCGTTTACAATATCTCACCAGCACACACGCAGGAAAGCACTGCCTACAGAGAGAGCCATTCACTTCAGTTTTCCACTCTGAAGAGACAACGCCATCGTCATGGACTGCTTTCGGAGCTTTCATGACTCTTCCGCCAACCCCTACGAACTTCTTTTCACCGCCGCGACCCTCATTCCCGTCTGGCACTACTTGTTAGGGTTCCTCATCATCTCCTATGTGTTCCTCTACAACTACTTGGACTTCCATTTCTGGCAAGACTTTTTCACTGGATTCAGAGGCTCTTATGTGGACTTGACATACAACTCCAATTCCCACATCTACCACGGCATGGTTTCCAAGTGCCGGGTACTCCATGCCCGGTACTTGGCCACGCCCTGGCTCGCCAGCCCTCATCTGCAGAATCTTTTCCTCAATTTTTTTGGCAACACTCCTGACGTCACATACCAAAGAGAATCTTTTCGCCTGTCGGATGGCGGTACTATTGCGTTGGATTGGGCGGCGGCAGCGAGATCTCATATATTTGGTGGTGGTCTTGTGCCTAAAGATGACAGCACAACCCCCATTGTAGTTGTACTTCCCGGACTAACAAGTGATTCGGATTCCGCTTATGTAAGGCATCTTGCCTTTAACACAGCTAAAATGGGATGGAATGTAGTAATCAGCAACCACAGAGGACTTGGTGGAGTTCCACTTACTTCAGACTTCATCTACAATTGCGGATGGACTGATGATATTCGCGAAGTCAGTAATCACCTCCACCATAAGCATCCCAAGGCTCCATTGTTTCTTATCGGAACAAGCATAGGTGAGTGAATTTCTAGTATTTTCTTGTCAGGAAATGTTCTTCTTGCCAGACTGATTAAGCTGTTAATTTTCGACTACAATTTAATTAAACTATTTCATCAATTTACGGTCGAGATTCTTTGGTAAGTTAACACTACTCTTCCTAGTAGTACATTTCAATCAAATTTCCAATTTAATTTCCGTTGGCATCGATACTTTCGTATGTCTAGGTGCCAACATTTTGGTGAAGTATCTTGGGGAAGACGGAAACAATGTCCCGGTTGCTGGCGCTGCAGCCATCTGTAATCCGTGGGACTTTCTCATTGGTGACAGATTCATTCAGCGTACCTTGCTGCAGAAGTTATATGACAAAGCTCTAACAAAAGGCCTTCAATGGTATGCACAATTTCACCAGCATGCCTACTCCCGGCTTGCAAATTGGGACGGCAAGATGCATTGCATTCGACACTACCATGCTACCTGTGACGTGGAGAAGGTTGAGACTGTCGACACATTTTACAGGCGCACAAGCAGTTCCATCTACGTGTGCAACGTGGCGGTTCCCCTTCTTTGTATCAGCGCGTTGGACGATCCAATCTGCACCAGAGAGTCCATTCCTTGGGATGAATGTAGGAACAATGTGAATGTTGTTTTGGCCACCACAAAGCACGGCGGTCACTTGGCGTTTTTCGAAGGCTTCACTTGTTCCGGGATCTGGTGGGTGAGTGCTGTGGATGAGTTTTTCAAGGTTCTGAACTGTAGCAAGTATATGCATGTAAAGAAGAATAAGAAGATTAAGAGTACTACTTCTGGGGCAGAATTGTCATTGGACTCTAGTATTCCTAGGGTTGCAGAAGATGGAATCGGAGTGGTGTTTCAATTGGTGAAGGTAGCTGCATTTGTTAAGGGAGTTGCATTCGCCAAAGTTGTTGCCCAAAACTTAGGAATGGGGGCTTAAGTTTATAAAACTATGAATAAATAAGATATTGTTGATATCACTCCAATATTGGATGTGTATCAACAAATTGTCAAGCCAATTGTGTTTAAGATGTTATTTGCAGTCCTTTAGAGCAGGTAAGAAAAGGATTCTCATATTTTACAAGATTTTTGGACTACTTGTGTGGCTCGCCGTCTATTTTAAGTTTCGCATCATAGATTATTCTTGCAAATATCAATTTAATTTAAAATAATTTATCAATTTGATTCTTGTGACGACATCTTAATGTTTGTTAAAATACTATGCCAAGGCTAAAATGATTGGGGTATTATACGGTGAAACTAAAAAACTAGATGTTCTAATTGCTAAAATGTTATTTTGATTCTTTCGAGCCCACTCTGATGCTTCTTTTCGAAAACATTGTGGAAATAGTTTTAACATATTGATCATGCTTTGGGTCCATCCCATCCATTGGATTACATGGTGGAGGGATGGAAAAATCGAGCTTGGAGGGTGGCTGGAAAGTAGCCAGCTCGTTAGCCTTTTGGCCAACTTTTGGCCTAGTGGATTCCACACATATTTTGGCCAACTTTTAGCCTGATGGATTCCACACATTTTTTGCCCATATCACTATTAGAGATAAGTTCTTTTTTTTTTTTAAATCAAAACGGGCCATTTTTTAGCATATAGCCCTTTATTCAATTGAGCATGTTGTCAACCATGTGTTATTACAGTCAAACATCTAGAAATTGTACATCAAAACAATTTTAGGGTGATTTTTTTACTTGGCTAGGCTCAAGCCAGGCCAACTTCATCCTCGCAATGCCAATGAGCTTGAATGCCCAACCTAATTTTAGCTCAATCCTACAATTTTAAGACCAAACTCGGCCTAGCATTTGATTTTTAAAGGTATAAACTGATTTCTCCTTAAAGTTTAATTTTAATCAATTACCCTTCTAAAATCGTATATGTCACATCTCGGCCCGAACCCCTATCACATTCCCGGCTCGACTTCGCCGTAGCACGATATTGTTCGCTTTGGGCCCTGACCATGCCCTCACAGTTTTGTTTATGGGAACTCACACAAGAACTTCCCAGTGGATCACCCATCCTAGAATTGCTCTCGTGCGAACATGCTTAACTTCGGAGTTCATATGGAACCCGAAACCAGTGAGCTCCTAAAAGGCCTTGTGCTAGGTAGAGATGAGAATATACATATAAGGATCCATTCTCCTGGGCGATGTGGGATGTTACAATCCACCCCCTTAGGGGCCCGACATCCTCGTCGGCACACTTCCGGCCAGGGATTGGCTCTGATACCAAATTGTCACATCTTGGCCCGGGCCCCCACCACATCCCGGGCTCTACTCCGCCATAGCACGATATTGTCCTCTTTGGGCCCCGACCACGCCCTCACGGTTTTTTTTTTGGGAACTCACACGAGAACTTCCCAATGGGTCACTCATCATGGGATTGCTCTCGTGCGAACTCGCTTAACTTTGGAGTTCCGATGGAACCCGAAGCTAGTGAGCTCTCAAAAGGCTTCGTGCTAGGTAGAGATGTGAATATACATATGTTGACCCTAAAAACTACTAAGCCTACGTGGCACGTAGGCCGAGTAATCTATAAGCTAACTACGTCATTCGGTTGAATGTGGGGCGTGCCAACTTGTCGGCAGAGCTCGGTCGAGAAGTAAAATTTGTTGATGTTATGTTGGGTGTGCGGCTGACTTCTGCATCTTGCGATTGCAACCGATGAAGGAACACGTCTCGGCCTCTTGGGTTTTCGAACCTGAAGACAAGGCTACTATTCTTACGAAGTTCACGAATCGTCATCATTGGATTCGGTCACAGTGATGGTATTCGTCAGAGTAAACTCATGCCGAATCGACACCAAAGTGTAGGGGCATAGATACTTAAAGCGGATATAAGTCTTAATGGTGAACGTGGTTCGACCGTCTGAATGCCGAACTCTAAATCCCACTTGAGAGTATCCAATCATAAAATAACTCGACGTGCAATGCGCCGAGCTCAGTAAGCTGTAACACCTCACTTCGCCGAGAAGGCTAATGAGATGACCTCGATCAATAAGGATTCGAAAATCCTTCTTGACCAAGACTGGGATAGGTAACCAACTGCCCTCGCCGTAGTGTTGTTGATGCCAACGGAAGATGCTACGAGATCGGCTGATTCTATGGCGATAGAGCTATCTATGTCGACTGAAGATATCACCAGTTGCTTTCACAGTGCTGTTGATGCCAACGGAAGATGTGTCAGCGAAAAGAGAAAATAAAAATCTCAAAGTTGTTGAGAGAGTTTGCGCAGGGCAGTTGTGTGTTGAGTTGGAGAGACTTGAACGATGCACAACCTCCTCTATTTATAGCACCGGATACCTTCTAGGTTGAGTTAAAACCCTACTCGGATTAGGACTTCTTCTCCTAATCAAACACCAACTCGACCAGTCATTTTTTCACTACGATTTTGAACCCAGTCCTTTATCGTGCCTGATTCACTTCCGGGTTATTAATCTCACCGAGACTCCTTATTACGCTAGGATTTGACTCGTCTTGCAGTATGGCTTAACCGACTTAGGTTTGAAAGCCCACGAACTAAACGCTCCATGGTAACCTTGTCGTAAGGCTTTCCGGGCTGAGAATGATTCTATACTCGGCCCAAACTAATATTTTGGGCCCAAACATTGCCCCCTCGCTTCTAAGGTCTTTGGCCTGAATCCTATGGTCGAGCTCCGACCTTGAAGAAGCGAAACTAATACTCAAAATCCAAATACTCTATTTCCAAGGCGCATTTATTGAGCACGATTGCACGATCTTGATCCTGCTGACCAATACACCATGTGGCATCTTTTAACACGGCTAATCCCTAATGATGACGTTTAAAGCGTGCGGCTCCCTGAACCGTCATACCATCATGACCTTGTTGCTGAGCACAACCATGCTACCTTGATCCGCGAACCATTCACCATCGTGCAGACGCCCAAACGTCTATCTCACCGCCACACGCAATTGTGCGCCCCCCAAAACATGAAACCCTCGGTCTTTTCAACTGGATTCTCTGAATTTTCATAATGATTAGCGAATTCTTCGGTCGATTTTACCCTTCATTTTGAATTTTGAACGATTGCCCTTCCTTCCACAATTATATAAATACCGAAATTCTCTCATTTGTACTTTACGCTTTCAAACTCTCTGAAATTTCTTGCCCTCCTTCTCCAGTGAATCCCTTTCTTCCAGATCTTCGTCTTCAAACCCCCAACCCAGAAAATTCCTCTCGTGTCGCTTCTTAAACCCACTTACAATGGCCTTTTTCATCTCTAAGCTTTCCAAGGAATGTGACCAATGCCAGAAAATTATTGATTGAAGTTTGATCAAAACCATCTGTTTTGAAAATGACATGAGCACCCTTCATCAAATCTTGGGTCCTCTCTTCAAAGTGGCAGTACCACCAACCATCATCAGACTTCTCAAGGAGCACTGCCTATCACCCTTGCTGCAAGGGTTTGAATGGTCGAAGTGGGACTTAGCAAGGCCTTAAAGTTCATGGCCCTCGACCACTACAGCCTGGGTAGCTTGGGTCGTACGAATGGAAAAACTTTTCGGCGAGCAATGGAAAGCCCCAGGCATCTACGACGTCATTCACCTCTCATCCATAGAAGTTATCCTAGACAAGGAGCTCCTCTTAGCAGCCTTATGCTTCTGGTGTTCGGCTACCAACACCATGGTCCTCCCTCTCGGCCCCATTGGTCCCACCATCCTTGACATTACTGCCATCTTGGGGACTTCCTTGACCTGAAGGCGCTTTTCGACAAATGGGCCCTTGAGACGCTGAGTGGTGAAGGCCACGCACCCTCGAAAGAAGAGGTTCACAAACTTCACAAGAACTTCTTCAACTATAACACCCTTTATCTCCATTTTGCCGGCCAAGGAGAAAAGGCTCTACGAGAAGGGGAACACGAGGCTTTCCTCTTCTATTGGTACAACAAATTTATCTGTTGTACCAAATCCAATAAATGTCTGGTCGAGAACATGCTAGTGGCCGAAGCCCTAGCTAGCGGTCACACTCTAGCACTTAGCCCGACCATTCTCCCCCATCTCCTACGCTGCTTGGCTGAAACGACCCTAGATAAGGTCCACCCGCACCAGAATGGTCCTCTCTGGGTCTTCCAACTCTGGTTGCAGGTCTACTTCGCCCCTCTTCGGCCAACGATTGCTGATTTCTCGCCTACGGAAGCGCTCGGCCCTCAGCTGGCTTCTCGGCCAACACCCCCTCACCAAGCTGAAGAGGTGTTCAGATACTTTTTCGCTCTCGACAATCTTTCTAATGACGAGTTCTTGATCTGTAGTCGTCGAGAATAGCCTTTGTCGATCAGGCTTCCTACATCCGTGTGGGGCGCGGATGAAGATTCTGACCTTCGTCAATCCTAGGGGTCTTTCGTGCTTACCCGCGACCTGCCTTTCGGCTGTGAGGGTCGCCGAGCGGGTTGGGAAGTGTATCTTCCCAACTTCCTCGCTCGGTAGTTTGGCTACCTCCAAGGTTGCCCCGTCCCCCTTCTCTCCTCACGGTTCGTCCTAAGCCGCGGACGCGAACTCGGTTCTTCAGACAAGGAGTTCCAGGAGCGATGCCAACAATTCCGCCTTCGACCGGTCACTTTAGAATCTCTTAGCACCGATACCTTCGACGATTGGTGGGAAGAATACACTCATAGCTTCTTCAGCGCACCGGTAGAAGATGTTATTAACAAGATATTCGGCGATCGTCCCCACAAGGCTCCTGCTCCACAACCTAAAGAGGCCACCCATGGTATATAGCTTCCTTTATATATTTAGATATATATATATATATATATATATATCTGTTGTAAACATTCCTAGTTTAAGTATGATTGTGTAAATCCTAGATAAGATTTGATTCTAGTTATCCTTTCCTATTACAACTTGTATTACTTGGAGGAGAAGGAATATCTTCTCTCCCTTTACTACTATAAATAAAGGCACAATGTAGGAGGGATAACAACACACACATTCCCCTACAATTCTACAAACACACATCTCTCTCCTCTCTCTCTGCCGCCGGCCCTAGTCCCTCTGTCAGATAAAATAGACCACAACACGTTAT